ACAGGGCATATGAAAGTAAAATATAATTGTATAGCAATTTTAGCCTGTAACATGAACACTGCCAATGTAATTAAAATTTTTGTATGCAGACGCCATGTTGGGCGGTAATGAACCCGTTCAATTCACAAGGGGTTTACATTCGATTGCTGGAATTCGATGCGCCTGACGTACAAGATGTACGTGTGTAAATCATGGACATATGGTAGGTTTCCCATATATAAAACCCAATTTTGCTACAGTTAAGGGTTAAGGATGGCAGAAGACTATACCGATTACACTAGAGTTACAAATCATTTTTGTGAGTGCCTTCCGTTTTCTATTTATCGTATCTACGTTTTGCTTGTACATGATGATGATTTGTCACTAGCTAACTAACATCTAACTAAAATGGTCCCTTAGTGTTTTGGAAATCCCGTCCGATTATGAATTCTACCAAACAGCCCTACCGCGTAAGATCATTGGGTAACAGCCTCATATCAGATTAAACTGGAAGGACAACCTCAACCCTTTTAAGATGATTTTGCATATAGAAGTCTTGTTTATTAAAGAGCGCAAAGTACCTTAATTAACAAGACAAGCTTCTATTCAGTATAGTTGCACGATTTTTGTACCGAGGGACATTAATCCTTTGCAGGGCATGTCACGCACGATCAATTGTTCGACTTCTTCGCGTTTTCAATATATATATATATATATATATATATATATATATAGTATAATCGTTTAAATCATGCTATTACTTCAGGGTTAACGTTGCCCAGGTTGGTAGAAAGTTGAATTTGATATAGTGCACTATATGAAATTCATGTTTATTTTATTTTTATCTATGCATAACACATATTTTCTATAGACACTCACCTCATAATAATAATAATAATAAGCAGACAACGTTTTTATGCCCGATACGCTTGAATATCTAAGTAGAAAACTGTCTCAATATCTAAGGATGGTTTTTATGACCATCATGTGAAACAGCAGCAAAACACCTGTTACTTCTATAGGCTGCATTATTCGTTGTATCTTTTCGGAGTAACCTTTACCAGGGAAAAGCGCATGTATCTTTTGGGTTTTGCTGGCAGGTTCTATTCTTCTTTATCGATTGGGTTATTCTCCTGGCATCCGCCCAAGATGTGCACACGTCCGTTTCATGACCAGTTGTATACAACAGACCAGCGGTTATATTATGGATGGCTTGATTAGTACAGACGCGTCAGATATATTGCCAGATGGTATTTACCTACAATAGAAAGTAAGTAATGGGTAAAAGCACAACAGACAATAACAACAATACTAGCGGTGTGTGGTGCAAAGACGGATTCGGTAATGAACACATATGTCGTCCAATCGACTAAGCCTACTGCAGGCTCAGATTTTTCGTAGCTTCGCCGAGTAAACAGGCCCGTGAACAAACATTACACTTACTAAAAGTTATTTTCAGCTCATTTCATTATAGTCAAGTGAACGTAGCACTTATGTTTAAGTTTTATATAACCATTACGTGTGTATATACATATGTACAGAGGCATCTTTTCCACATGCCTAAATCCAATTGTATACATATATAAAGGGTGCGGCCATTGTACACACTATAAGGGATTGAACGCTTTGCGCTCCGATGTATTAAGTTATCGTCGTATTATAACTCACTCAAGTTGTCTGTTTTCTTATTTGGTAACTGCTGAGATCAGAAAAAGTTTAACCTTATAGAATTTTATCATTTTTTGAAGAAAAACACCTTCGTGTTAGGTATATGATTAGGGCGAACGTTACTAAACGATGCTTTGTACCATTGCAGAAATATGTACGACGTAAGCTATAAGAGCCGAATCAATCTGATTAGCTTTGCTGGAATTGTTTGACATATCCTTTTTATTCCTTTTACTTCGGTCCTTCTATCTCTTCCGTAGAATTATCTTTGAATTTTTCGCTTCCATTTCTTTACAGTTAAACCGATCGTAATAGCGTCTGTGGTAATAAATGTCCAGTTTTTCATCAGATCTTTTATATGTAATCACCAAAATTAGAATGGATAGCGGCTTTACTGTTGAGAACGTTATCAGGTGATTGGGTTCCGTCAATACCCATCACCCCCGTCGTACTCTTCGTTCTATGCGTGAAGCATCGCATGACGATACCAATAAAGTACGAAACCGTGCTCGAGCTTGTGGCGCTAATAAGCCTACATCACAACTACCGTTTTGCGCATGTACAGGCGGCATGAAGGTGTACAAAAACGATAAATCGCATCAGCCAGTCAACTTCTACAGACAGCAAAATTTCTCTCCAATGAAATATTACGAAGAGGTTGTGATGGCTTTGAATTAAAAAAGCTTCGCCTGTTACTAAATTGAAAATTGCATCAATGCTCGCATCGGCGCGGTAAACAAGGTCCTATTGCGGATGTCGTATCTCGTAAGGCCTATCTGTTCTAATAGAATTCTTATGAGCTAGCCTAGAACAGACACCTACAGACTTGACTTCCTTAAATAATTGAGGCAAATTACCTGCCCATATCCGCCGCTTTCGACATCGTATACCGTTGATCGTGGGTTAGGTTTCATGCACCGTGACGCACGGTCTTTGCACATTCTTTTCCTTCTGACTATCGTACAGGTACGGAACGTTATGCAGGTACTTCGCTCTACATGTCTCTGTGAAAACTGGTAGAATTGCTAGCGACTGTAATCGAGTGCTTACTATTACATGATGCGCAACAGCGAAATGCTTGTTATATATGTCAGCTTGGTGTTTACGAATGAGCATCGCATGCAGAATTTATTGTTAACTTTCCTTCAAGGAAAATGCCAGAGAAGGTTCGATTGTCCTACAAGATTTGCAAATATCGCTTTATGGTTTCGTCATACACAGTTAATCTGTTCGATGGCAAAGAGGCGGGAGGTTAAGCCGGGGCAGTCCTGCTTTGCTTTCCGTTCTTGGTCTGCTGCTGCTGCCGCTGGTGTCGCAATGATTATGCAGTGGCAACCCAGGGCATCATAGGGGATCGTGTATGTCTTACGTGAGTAAGTAAAGAACCGGTAGCGGGACAGCAACTCAGAGGTTGGCCGCAACGAATAGGAAAGTAAGAGACACCCATGACTTCCCATAAGAACACTTCTATTGGCGTGATTCCTTGCCGTCCTTTAGTCTAAGTGCTTTCCGGTAGCAGGAAGATAGACGAATAGGTTTGGCTACCGGAAAAGAGAGACATACGTCAGGTCGACTGTTTAGTCGAATCAGGTTCAGTCTATCCGCCCGTGATAGCTTAGTAGATAACGTGTTTGCCTGCTTATCTAAGCGACACGTTGTGGTCTAGATTCGATCCCAGGCATAGACACACTTCGTTTCGTGCTGGGAAGCTGCCGTCTGATGGAATGCCTACCGGCAATACCGGACATAAAACTCAGAAGTTCAGCCTACCTGGTTTCACTCGTTCCTAACCTATATGGCCACAGCCGATTGCTTAGCAACAGCGTTAAGCTCAGTGTACTTATTTATATTAGGAAGATGACCGCCTCGTGCTTGTATATACGCCTGTGGCTGCTTGCCCGCATCAAAAGCTGTGTTGTTAGCTGGTCATACATGTCTATTCCGTGGTTTGTTGCAGAGTAGATATATGCGTCAACGACCCGAATGCGAACTGGTTTGTGGTTGACGCCAATGGCGATGACTGAAGCTAATCGTAAAGCTACTAGATGCAATGATCCTACTTACGCTACCCCCGCGCAAACAGAAATGCCAACAACGCAAATAACGGACACGTTGTCTCGATGACGTTACAATTGGCTACCGGGGGAACTGCTGGCCACTTTGTGACAACTGAGCACAGGCCATTTCCCCGCACTCCTTCCTTACTGGTGCGAGCAACCTGTTGACTCACTAATGTGAGGTGATAGATAGAACCCTGCCTTGCTCATAGGAGCTGACATCGACGGTACCTAGGATCCGCCTATCTCTCTCTAATTTTAGGTTCTAGCTTCCCGACTCGACAGGCATTTATAAATCCGTTACTTGACGACTTTTAACGCCGTCTGGTGGTCAACACAAGCGAACATTACTACATGTGAAACTCATGTAGACATCGCTTACTTAGTGCGTCACCACAACTGTCCATGTGATTACTTAACAATCGCACTAGTTTATATCATTGAGCATCTACAAAACCCGCTACAGACACAGCAAAATATTGTTTTCACAAAAAAAAAAAAATAATAGATGAGAAGGCATTTTTCAGCGAGGCCTCACTCAGAGTTTCGAAGATAAACATGCGTTCAGTGCTCCTACTGGATTGGGATTAAATAAAATGGCGGATCGGTTCGGATGCGTGCTGGGGCGCTGTCTTTTTTGCGTGATGTTTCCCCATACGAGTGGACTTAGCGTGTATATTATTCAGCGAACTAACATATTGTCCGTTATGTGCCGTTTGTGACGATAATTGTGCATCACAATTAGTAGCAACTCTAGTCGTAAGAGTTGTGGTCAACGGCACAGATGCTATACAGTCTGGGTGATTTAAAAATAACATTGAACAATTATTAGGATTTATTTAATTAAGACGCATAGGTGCCCCGTAGTTCAGTTGCAATGTTGCTCCATCTAAAATAGTTCTGGCGCCCGATAAGAAAAACAAAAATTAGTAGTATAGCACTTTTTTAAAGTGAGTTAGCGTTTGAAATGCCTTCTGTTTGTGCCTGTTTTTACATTCTACTGAAAACCTTCATTCTTCCTAACTAGAAGTCGATGCTTTTTCTGATTCTAAACTACATTGTAACCCCCCTATTTTGTTGAATGTTCGCAAGGAAAAATATATGCATATTTATTCGACTGCTTTATTCAGCTAATTCTGAATAAAACTACCAAATTTACAAATGTTTGTAAACTGCGTTTCTTGTCTAACAGTTTCCGTATCCAACTATGTTGTCTACGAAAGATGTTTTTTTTTCTGTTTAGTATGTACATTGCAATTACGTCTGATATTCGTTTTGTCATTCGGATTCTACCAGATCTCGAACGAATGGAAGCGGCGCCCGTGGCGCAGGCATCCTCCAGCAGGCGTCAATTGGGGCTAGCGGCGCTTGCTGTTGCATGACAGAACACCGTGTCTGGAATGAGGATTGCGCCCTTTGCCGGGCATTACGGGAAGAGCATGACCAAGAAGAATATACACAAGGTACGATATAGTAGGTAGTTTACAATTAATGCATTTTAACAGTGATTGTTAGTGGCTTTCAATTGAAGTTATGCTGATCACGAAAGATACTTAAAGACAAAAGGATATTATAAGTGGCGAGTAAAAGATAGGTTTTATCTTAGAACTGTAGACTGTAGTTCGTCCAGTTGACGTTTTTAGCTGATTTCGTGTGGTCCAATAAGTCCTTGGTCACATCTTTTTAAACGGTACTGGGTAACTCGAGAAGGACCTCACCCCATAGAGACTTTCTTGAATAATTTAACTCTTAAAACGGCTGATGAAAATCCTTAAAACAAGGTTCCCTGAGAAGCTGCGAAAGCAACATATGTATATTGCATAATCCATACTTGTATTTATTACCATTTTCCCTACGTAATGATAATTCTTAAACAAATTAACAAAAAGAAACTATGATTTCAGCTAGATGACAAGTCGGCTGTTAGTATCAATTAACCCCCTTTAAAGCCCCTTTGGCATACTTGTGCTCATTGCCACAACGTCCAACTGGAAAAAAATGTTACCCATTAATCTACGCTGTGGGAAAGTCAGAAGTCGACTGTTTTTCTATGAAAATATCTCACCGTCTTGTGTGCGATTGTTCGATTGAGAACGTTCGCCGATCCTTAATCGTCATATTTCTTATAGAACCGGCGTTAAGATTATTAGATAATACAACAAAAATCGTTACACACTCTTCCGAAGAAAACATTAACTGTATTGTTACTTCGTCTATAGATTATATATAATTTAAAAAAAAAAAAAAACTATGGATGAATTTGGGTCCTAAACAGAAGTCTGCGAAACACACTCATCACCTGGTGATCCTAGTAAGGCCACGATGTTCGCACGCTATTAGAATTCTTTAAGCAGGTGATTTGTAACTTAATTAGTCATTTCCTCCAACGAGTTTTTGACAGAAACATAGATTACATACTGGAACATTTGCGTTGTTAACATCGTACGTTAACATTTGTGCCAAGTCTAGAATAGAAGAAACAAGTTCAACTTTTGGTAGCGAAGGCTGCTACTTTAGCGACTGGAAGTAACATTTATGGCGGGTGTAGATGTACCTATTTCAAATAGTGTTGGCAGCAGCAGTCAATGTAAAGAAGGAAGGAATTTATCAGCTTTTGTTTAATTATATAAACTTTCTTTTGTTTAACATACGTATGGGCAGATCTATCAAATCTATAGAAATAAACATTAAAAGTAAACCCCTGTACAATGCGTTTTGTTAGATTGCATCAAAATATATATATAGGTATACATATGCTACTTCGAAATATATACTCGCATACGCGATCGTTCTTATCCAGCAACTACAGATATATTATTCTGCTAAAAACGTACTTTTCATCTAGTAAACGTATTTATTATTACACAACATGTCGAACAAAGATGTAACTAGCCTCTGGGGCTAAAAAAGAGGTCTTTTCGGGTAGAGCTGCTTGTGGTCATCGTAAGATCGACCGAATAAAAGCGCATCACTAACTTGTTCAAGTATCAACGATCCCACGGACTTTCGTGTCGGCTGAGAAACTTGACTGATGAGTGATAAAGCCTGTAATTGGGGTCGAGACGAAGACTTCAGGAACGAAAAATCGGCAACTAGATCTCGTGTATTGAGTTCTAGTCTATAAAGGTCTGATTCTCGAGGACTTTTTTGCTCGCCCGCTCGATTTCGAGCAAAATAGAGGTAAAAAGGATTGTCTTTCGTTCGGTTGCGTTTGGACCGAGCTCAATCCACTGTTTTGGGTAAATGACCGGACTGTACGGCGCCCAAATGAGCAACCAGGCAGGGGAAGACAAGGGCTCACGCTAATTTGTTTCGCTTTTCACCATGGTGTTCTCGTTCTTTATGCGGGAAAGATCTTTCAGCGGTCCGTACACATCTTCCACCTGCGTTTTGTGCTTATTGTTAGAGTTAGATATTAGATGCGGGCCCTTATTAGGTTGAAGAAACAGGAAAAGTAGCGGAAAGCAGTATTCGAGATATTACCTGTGCGGACGTCTCATGAGACATGTATATTGGCCATTGGGCAAGTTTGCCCTGAATGAGAAATCAATACCTACTAACACTGCTCATATTGTCAGAACGCTTAACCTATACGGGTCTGGTAATTTGGACCGTTTTGAATGGAGCTCCTTTCGCATGCTATCTGGATAGGTATCTGGATATAGCTTTTGAAAGATGGACGTTAGTTGAAATAATTAAGTAGAAAACAGTGAAAACAGACCTTGTCAATAGGTTAGATAATCGAATTTTTCGACTTTAAATTCTTTTTTTTAAGCTTTACTTTTTTAAGCTTCGACTTTAAGGTCTTTTTTTTTGCATACGGTGAGTCTGGCTTTGCTGTTTTGTTTGTTTCGTTCGTCTCAGGTGATGCAGTCTTTGGACAGGGACGATTAAGCCAATATATAATAATAAAGCGCATTATTGCTACATCAAAAAAATCAATCTGACACACATTCTAGAGAGGTGGTCACAACATTTAGAGTCAACTTTCGTTTTACTGGCAGTCGGTAGGCCTTTGTCCCTCGCATTGGTGTCATGGCCAAATCTTTAACGCGACTATCCAGTGGCTAGGCTGAATCTTAAGGCCTGACATTTTTAATTAATTATTCTGATTTTTGTTTCAATCCAAGACCGTGATTCTAGTTCAGCTTTCGAACGGAAACAGTCGAAAGTGGGGCCTCTTCATGCGTTAAGCCTTCTCACATATAAATATGTCTAAAAAAAAAAAATTCGACTTGTACATCCCTCATGAATTGCAACAGCCAGTGTAACGGCGCAGACAACGATTTACCTCGACATAAGAACCCCACTTCATGAATACGTGACATAGTTTCTTATATCCTGTACATATTTGGCAGTATCGTAAATGGTTCAGTATAAATTTTCAGGTAATCGTATATATATATATATACATGTTGACTCGGTTACATCTAATAATTTCTAACTATAGACGAGTAAATTTTATTCAATCTAACTTTAATTTGACTACATTGTACTTTTTTCAAATGTAAATTCGAATCGATGTAAAAAGCCCCGTAGTCATTTTACGTGGTCTCAGACACTACGGTCTGCGTGGGTTAAATTTCTACAAAAATCTGACGCCGACACTTTTTCTCCTGTTCGAATCTCTGCGAGAACAATCGATCAACGGCGACAGTACTTTTTTCCTTTAACGGATATTTATGTGGCGATAAGACGAAGTGTAGTTCTTAATAATTTTTAAGTAAAAAGCAGTAGAAAAAGCCCACGCAATGATTTCATACTTGACCAACTATACATATTACTCAAACGTCTCACTAAAAAAATTCCCTTTTAAAAAATTATTTTTAATTATAACATAAAAGCTCATGCTTAAAAAAGTCGTCATAATCGACAATTTTCAAAATTTGGTGATTTTTTTTTATTTGAAGAATGGCAGACTAAAAATTATGAAAGTACGTTATTTTTAATATCATTTAAATTTGTTTAAGTGTAACCAGACTGACTGAATCTGCTGGCTCGTATTACGTTAGATTTGTGCTAGAATACCGTACAATTCTGACGCAGTATTTCATCTGTCACTTCAAAAGGCCTTCCCCATAAATTTTCAATAACGGCTTTACCCCAAATCTCATCAAAAAAAAGAAATAATACCCAACGTTTGGTATAGGTGATCACAGGAACGCATAAAGAGCATTGAATAGTATTGATACTCAGCCGTTTCCTTTTTCTTCGTATATACGCTACAAACTTTTCGGCCTATTCTTAACGTCTTTCTATATATATATATATATATAGCCGAAAGTAAAAATGGAGAAAAAGGACGAAAGGCCTGCGTTACGTGGTTTAACGATCAATAGGTTCTTCATTTCGTCTGCAAGTATCGTAAGTTCAAAAGAGTTTCAACTCATATAATAAAATGCTGATCTCCAGGAAACAACACAAATACGAATCTAATTGGCTTAAAGTGGTATGTCTGTTTCGGTCTCTTCTGTTTCATGTCGTGTTCCCACTTCGTCCTTTGTGCTACCGTCCTTTTTCTGTCGCCAATTCCAGTTTTAAACAGTGAGATGTCAACTATGATTGACGCCGTATACGATCTAAGTTCCCTAGTTGAACGAAAGCTAAAAGAGAAACAGAAGACTCGCCAGGACGTGTGGAAACGAGAAGGCACATTTGGCATCTTTGTGAGCAAAGGCGAAGATGGGCGACGCCGCATCGTGGTTAGGGACGGCTGGACTTCGTACCACATCGATGGTGAGTTCGAGCTGGAGGACGCTATATTCAAAGCGGGTTAGTATTGTTTTTGGTGTTTTTTGGTCACGATTCATCGTTTACACCAAGCAATAGATTCCTCATCATCCCACCTTGATCGAACTTCACAAGCTTGAGCAGAACCAGATGGCCCTGCCGCTTTATCTTCTATTGCGCCTGGTGTCAGACATCATGTCACCCACGACTTTGTCGAAGATTGGTTCGCCCGCCTGGTGAAGTTGGAGAGCTCACCTGAAAAGGGGTACGAGCAGGAGGCCTCAAACCTCTCCTTCAGGCGACGAATAATCGCAGTACGTCCAGCCGTAATCAGCAAGCACAATTCATCTCACCATAACATAAGTGCACAAACTCAGCGAAAAACAAAAAAAGGAAGAAGAAATAAGCATGTACTAGCACACTTTCTCCAATAATTTCTGTTCAACAATTTTTCAAACTCCGTCGTGGGGGTACACACTTTGTACGTAGATGCATACTCGTTCGCAAATATGTAGTATAGTAAAACCTTAGCTTTATAAAAAAATATATATATAATAACATGAATGGTAACCATAGTTATAAACAATAAAGTTTTTCGAAAAATTGAAATATTAAATCACCTACGAGTATAATAACGTATGTGGTAATTCCGCCACCTAAACATCTATGTTGTCACGCGGTTATGTGTGTACTTTGACAGCTAGCTGAGATTTTTGAAGCCCCTATTTGAGCTTACAGCTCACGCCGTTTGAAGCACCAGTCAGTGTATAGAGTTCATTCTGCTTCCGATTGGATAGACAGCCGAGTCCCGTGATAGCTTAACGGGTAACGTATTGGCATAGCGGTAGTAGGGTCACATGGTAGTCTAGCTTCAAATCCGGCACACAACTCCTTTCATGCTGGGAGCTAAACGTGTGATGGTACGTTTAACGGCGCCACTGAACGTAAAGCTCGAGATATTTATTGTATACAGCCGTTATAGACAGATACAAGCAGGTAAGCAGCTTTTCCGAAATCACTTCTGACAGAAAGAAAACGCATTACTTGTAACAAAGAAGACAGAAGAATTTAAAATAGAGACCGTGTATTATTTACATATTCACACATCTATATACACAAACTCGCAGTTAGTTGCACCTTTAAATGTTATAAATATTCTTAATATTATAGATCTATCAACAATTGCCCTTTCATCCCCTTCGTGCAATTAAGATGACATTGTACATATTTAACAATTTGCGTACAGCAGATGCTTAACTAGAAGTTTGCGAAAATACAATTCTACCTCATTTCGTTATCATCAACATAGCATAGCTGATGATGGCTTTTGGCCACATTGATCCTACCGCTATTCTGCTGACCTATGAGGGAAGGTTGCAAAATTAGGTAATGCAGCTCGTCATTGCTATTGGGTGATGCTGCACGAAGGTCATTCGAAACCATCGACCTTCGAGTACCTGAGACGCAGTACGGTGATATACAAAAGGATCTGGAAACTAGTCCCTATCGGTGAGTACGAATACAAAGGCAGCAGTAATACGGTCTACGTGTTGCAGCAGCTGTTCAACCCGTTCGACGCGTTTATGAGGTCGCTGAACCAGAGGCAAAACCGACCGTAACCCTATTCTAAGTAAGTTCAACAGTTGTTCTCCGTGCCGTTCCGTTAATCGGTCATCGGTGGCATCGGGCAAATCTAGTCTTACATAAAATCGTCTTTTTAGAACTTTCTAACGATATTATTAGCAAATACGTACATAGTGACCGCACTCCCGGAACACTGCCGGCAGCGACCATTACATTGATCCGATTGCGTTGTCGAGCTCTGCCATCATACTTTATAGAAGAGAAACTACACTAAATTGATTTGGCAATTGCCATAAGATCTACTTATCCAATAGCCCAAAAATAAGATTAAATAGAAGGAAGATATCGTTAAAATCGAATCGGTCAAACACATCGTTTTTAACGTTCCATAATTGTGGCGTATTATACTTTACGGGACTCAGAATCACACAAGGTGTGATTATTATCTAATTTCACTTATTTAGCTATTTCGTTATATATTAATTCAAAGCTACCTACAACCATTATTTAGTTAAGCTGAAGGACACCTTAATGAGACAGAGGGAGGTGCGTGATAGAGGACATGGGTGGAGTATGTGAATATATACGAGATATATTTTCACGGGAGGCCTCCTAGGGTGTGCTTTTATGGTAAATACACGATGTTTTCTTTAAAAATTGACATACAATCATGAATTCCTTAGTGAATCTGCTACTGATTTGTTTGGAACTTCTGTTACAAATCCGTTTCTGTGTGCACCGTATATGCTGTTCAGGTGTTTAGCTGAGAACAAAATCAAATACTCAAAATTAGCCTTGGCTAACATACTAAAAGAGCCCATTAACAATTTGTGAGAACAATTAGAAAGCAGGCGACGTATGTTTTCGCAACAAAGGTTGTTTACAGCTTCAACGAAGCTCACCGACATGACTTACCGATGTACGCATTGTGGATAGTGGAAGAAACTCAGAACCTTAATTAATGTCCTATTATGCCACACCGTAAAAGGCAACCATAATTGGCAATAATGTTTCGCAAGAAGCGAGTCCTGAAAAAGCCGATGTTAACCCCAATACGTTCCAAGAAAGTAGTGCACTGCCCTATATAAACCGCCAAAATTTACCACGCGCTATATCGTTTTGTTAGCCGTTCAAAACTTATTTTCAACTCGCCTAAAATTCTTTTCTTTATTTCAACTTCTAACTGCCGCGAACTAAGTTAGCCCCTCGATTGTCTTGTGCCTTTATAGTTCCACCAACAAGAGAAGGTATTACTGCAACAATACGAGCTAAGCGTGTGATTAGTATCGTCATTGGGCTCCACTGTTAAAGCCGCCGGTTCGCGTAGCATCAGCGGCAGCGTATTCGACTTTTCATTTACTACTGGGAGACCATTATTCTGCCACGGAGCCTTCATCTTTACTAAAAAAGCGATATAATATGTGGCAGACTTGCCTGTGTAAAGTATACTTGCATCGTGGGGCGTTGAAAAAATCGTACTTCTTTCTATCCTAACAAAAATGTACACCAGAGCTATGAGCATGATGATGAAGCGCGGTATAAGTAAACGCCATCGTCAACCTGATTTGGCAATCTGCTTATCAAGCTGAATAAATGAGTCTGCGATTCCGCCCATCCGCGTTTGGCCATACGCACGCCTCGCCTTTCGATTTACTGCTGCTGCTGTCTTACGCTGATCGTGGTGTCCGTAGCCATATTGGTCTGCAAGAACAGACAATACGGAAATGCCTATCAAGGTCTGATCTCTTTCTCTGACCGCACCTCTGTGACACGCTACCATGTGCTTACGTTGACGCTCGATGCTTCGCCGGCCGCTTGTTGCGTTTGCATTGAACAGCCGCATCAACGTTTCTGGTAGTGGCGATCTCTGCTGAGAGCAGAAAACGTGAAGCTAAAAAGCGGGATCACGCTGCCATCCGCCACCGATCCTCTACTGTCTATAAGAACTACATCAAACTCTCAAATTAGCCTTAGCTAACAGGCTAAAAGGACCCACTTTATAGTTAAAATAAAAGCGGGTCGTCACTACCAAGCCTACAACTGTTACCACTGTACAAGGGCGTTAAGGCCGGTTTGTCGTTTCCTCTTTCTTTCGAGCTCCTGGTGGTGGTACCTTTATATTTGCTTTACATCGCCGCCGTTGCTCCTGTCCTCTAATTCTGCTCATGACTATGCTACTTTTGCCACCACCGCTGATTCGTGCCACGCTGGGGCATACGGCAGTATCAGCTGACATTGCTAACACTGAGAAAGATAGCAATGAACTAAGCGCTCTGCTCTTTCTGGACCCATTTCATTTGCCCCCGGCACACTAGTTGTGCTTTTAAGAGAAAAGAATGGAATACGACAGAGTTGAGTAAGACGTTTATCAGTTAGAGCAGAAACGAAATATAGAGAAAGAAAGACGGAGCATTTAGTTCGGTATAGTCGTACGCACTATTTACTATAAACCTGAACACCCCGGCGGACACTTTCACGGTACTTGGTTCTAGAAAGGGGGGTGACACGCTAAGTAATGTTAAAAGCTTATCGATAGGCTTAGGGTACAGGCGCAGTTGAGGAACAAGCGATAGGCGGTGAGGCAGTTCGATATGGCGCTACCTGACTGTACTGCATTTGTTATGGTAATATATAATTTTATATCACGACTCAATTATTAAGACGAGCGGGTAAAAAAAACACCTACTTATTGAGAGAAGGTAGCGCATACGGGTTTGGTCCAATAGAACTGAACGTAGCTGTTGAGGGCTTGGAAGTCGAGATAAATATGAACAATTTGCGGGCGTATAAACATGATATTGTAGAATATCGTGGGCATGAAATTACCAGTTGCATACAGTCCTGCCTGTGCGTCATGAAGATAAATGAGACGTAAACTAACAATAGATAAGAAAAGCAAAATTCCCGTTTTAGAGAAGTTTATCGAAAAGCAATATAACAATACCTGTAGCAGTAATATTTAATGGGGGTGCTATCTCGGTAAATGAACAATAATTACATATAGAATTTTAATGGAAAACTTAAATTATAATGACCCTCGTATTGATATCCATTTGTATAGCTGTGTATTCTTGACCTTGTTGGCACCAAAAATAAACAACAGCCGATGGCACTATGATTGAACAACGGTTTAGCATTACCTATCTACATGCATGTGAAAATTCCATGTCCCTCCAAGTCGTACTTTAGTTTACCTAGTTCTCTAGAAGACGGTGATTATTTATTTTCCGTTTTTTTTTTTTTATTTTCACTTAAAACATTTTGCAGGTTTCGAAAACTCACATAAACGCATAGATGTTACCTAAATTGTTTTCCATAACGGTGACTCCCCCCAACCCTACTAATTCGATCAATTCCACGTAACAGCTTAGTTATTCAGTCAACTATTATTGTATGTCCCAATTGGCCGTAGCTGATAAAGCCGCCGTCGTCCCATCAGTCCATAAGTTGCCTTCCTG